TATATAGCACCTGAAAGTACCACAAAATTAAAACTTCTTCACTTTGACTATTATCGGATGTAATTCTCCTCTTTTTAGGTTCACTACCTTCATCACTTTCTGAAACAATTTTTCTGCTCTTGGTTGGTCTGTCTTCACCACTCTGACTGCCATCACTTGCTCCTTTTCCTCTGTTAGATGTTGCATTACCACTGGCAGAATCTTCACTTCCACTATCAGAAGCAATTTTCCTCTTTTTAGGTCCACTGTCTTCATCATTTTGACTAATATCACTAGCCCTTGCTTTCCTTTTTCTTTTAGACTTTTCTTTTCCACTGTCAGACTCCTCACTTGATGAAATAGTTGCTTTAGAAATGATTCTGCTCCTTTGCTTGGCAGTAAGGCCATCTTCTATCTGTTTCTTTTGCTTGGATTCTCTATTTTTCTTACGTTTTCGTCTTTTGCCACCTTCTTCTCCTCCTTCATCATCAGTTTCACGGTCATCTCGTGGCACACGTCTTCTCTGTCAGAGCCTGAAGCCTTTGCTTCTTCATCTGATTGTTCTTTATTAAAACGTTCATCATATGATTGTGCCTTATTGGAACCACCTTCATTGCCAAATTGGGTTTGATTTAGGTTAATGGACCCTTTTCATCTATTCTGTTCTATTTTAATCCCTAAACAATAATTGGCTTCACCTAAATCTTTCATTTCAAATCTTTTACTTTGTTGTTTCTTCACTAAATTTTTACTTATTTAATTTCGTTCGTAATATTCACTAAACCCATCTGGAATTTTCATGTATATTTCTTCATTTAGTGTCCCTTGAACAAAAGCCATAACAGCATCCATTTNTCCATTTGATCAATTTCCCAATCATAAATAGCTGCATAAGTCAACAAAACTCTTAATGTTACATAACGAACTAGGGGAAAACATTTCTGTATAATCTATTCTTTCGATCTGGGAGAAACCTTTAGCTACTAAACGGGTTTTGTACCTTTCAATATCACCATTAACATTATGTTTTATTTTGAATACCCATTTGCAACCAACAATGTTTTTATTTTTTAGGCTTATTTACTATGTCCCAAGTTTTGTTTTTAATGTAGTCCGCTATTGCTTCACATAAAGATTCTCTCCAATGCCTGGCATTACTACCATTGAGTGCCTCATCAATAGTATTAGGTTCAGAGAGAAGTTCATTTATTGCCACTAAAGCATTGGCAAAGTAAATAGAATCTAAATTTGGCATTTGCAAGTTGACATACCATTGGTATCAAAATTTTGATAACGAACAGGAAGTTTAACTGTTCTCCCTATAGGTGTCAATTTTGGCATATCATTATCAACAGTTATATTATT